CCGACTCAACGACGCCACTACGCCTGATCCGGTGCCGCACATTCAGGACTTTTCGGCGCATCTGGCCGGTACGGGGGTGTTTTCCAAGGTGGACCTGGTGCGTGGATACCACCAGGTGCCCATGCACCCCCTGGACATTACCAAGACAGCAGTGATAACGCCTTTTGGACTTTTTGAGTTCCTGCGGATGCCTTTTGGACTCAAGAATGCCGCTCAGACTTTCCAGCGCCTGATGGATTCGGTGCTGCGGGACCTGCCGTTTGTGTTTGTTTACCTCGACGACATACTCGTCGCCAGCGCTTCAGTGCAGGAGCACCTGTCCCACCTCCGAGCCCTTTTCACACGGCTCAACGAACACGGATTAATCATCAATCCTGCAAAGTGCCAGTTCGGGGTGTCGGACATCGATTTCCTTGGGCACCGCGTCACCAAGGGCGGTGCGACACCTCTGCCAGCGAAGGTGGAGGCTGTTGCGGCGTTTCCTCGCCCGCTCACAGCCCGGTCGCTCCGTGAGTTTCTGGGGATGGTGACTTTCTACCACCGTTTCATCGCCCGGGCCGCACACATCATGCGGCCGCTGTATGAAGCGTTGAAAGGCAAGACCCCCGTCCAGGAGATCGACTGGACAGCAGAGGCGGACGGCGCTTTTGCTGAGGTCAAGACCGCGTTGGCTCAGGCGGCTTTGCTGGCACACCCATCATCTACGGCTCCCATCTCCATCACCACGGACGCGTCAGACTACGCGGTCGGCGCAGTGCACGAGCAGTGGGTGGAGGGCGCTTGGCAGCCGCTCGCCTTTTTCAGCCGCCAGCTGACGCCTAGAGAACGCAAATACAGCGCCTTTGACCGGGAGCTCCTCGGACTTTATTTGGCCGTGCGGCACTTCCGTTTCATGCTGGAAGGCCGTGAATTTACGGCGTTTGTCGACCACAAGCCGCTCACCTTCGCCATGTCAAAAGTGGCGGAGCCTTGGTCGGCACGTCAGCAGCGGCAGCTGTCCTACATATCACTACGGACATTAAGCACGTGGCTGGCAAGTCGAACCTGGTTGCTGATTGCCTCTCCAGGGTCGTCATCGGTGCCGTCCAGTTGGGCCTGGACTATACTCGCATGGCGGCAGACCAGGTCACAGATCCCGGCGTCCAGGCCCTGGAGGTGGAGAGCGCGGGGCTGCGCTTGGAGGACGTGGTGTTCGGCGACGCGGGCATTACTCTCCTGTGTGACGTCTCTACGGGCCTGGCGCGGCCTGTCGTCCCTGCCAGCTGGAGGCGTCCTGTGTTCGAGGCTGTGCACGGCCTGTCACACCCCGGCGTTAAACCTTCGGTGCGTTTGGTAGCGGCGAAGTTCGTTTGGGAAGGACTGAAAAGGGACGTGAGGACTTGGGCCAGGGAGTGCGTGGCTTGTCAACGCGCTAAGGTGCACCGCCACACGAAGGCCCCGTTGGCCCCGTTGGAGCGTTTCCTGGTGCCTGAGAGGAGGTTTGATCATGTCAACATTGACCTGGTTGGTCCGTTGCCTTCCTCTCAGGGGTTTTCCTACCTCCTCACCATGGTGGACAGAACGACCCGTTGGCCGGAGGCGGTTCCGCTCGTTTCGACATCAGCCGCAGACGTTGCCCGGGCCTTCATTGCAACGTGGGTGTGTCGTTTTAGCACCCCGTCAGACATTTCCTCAGACAGGGGCTCTCAGTTCACGTCCGAGCTCTGGAACGCTGTGGCAGGCAGTTTGGGGGTTAAGCTGCACAGGACTACCGCTTACCACCCTCAGGCTAACGGCCTCTGCGAGCGCTTTCATCGCTCCATGAAGGCGGCCCTCAAGGCCGGCCTTACGGACGGTAACTGGGTCGACAAGCTGCCCTGGGTGATGCTGGGCCTGAGGACCGCACCTAAGGAAGATCTGCAGTGTTCTACAGCGGAGATGGTCTACGGTCAGCCGCTGAGAGTTCCGGGGGATTTCCTCCCAAATGCATCGGCTCCCTGGTCGGCGTCGGCCCAGCGGGCTTTCCTGCGTGACGCCGCTGAGGCCTTTGCTCCGATCCCTACTACTCAGCATGGTACTCAGGTGTCCCAGGTTCCCGCAGAGCTCCACTCGGCGGAGCACGTGTTCATCCGGCACGATGCGCACAGAGGCCCCCTGCAGCCTGCTTATGATGGGCCTTTCCGGGTCTTGGAGCACGGGGACAAGCACCTGGTGGTCGACCTGGGTGGCAAGGCCGAGCACGTCTCGGTGGACCGGGTGAAGGCTGCTCACCTGGACTTGGACCAGCCTGTGGTGCTGGCTCGACCTCCGCGACGGGGCCGCCCCCCGGCCTCGTCCCCTGTCACGGATTTAAGACCTGTTGTTCCGGTCCCTCCCCTTCCGGGGGCCGCACAGGCGGGAGTCACTTTTCCGACTCCCGTGCTCAGGAGTCGTGGGGGTCGGCGTGTCGTTCCTCCCCGCCATGCTGATTTTGTTTATGTGTGAATTCTGGGGGGGCTTGTGTGGTGACACGTTATTGGACATAATTCACCTTGCTTATTGTGTTGCCACACGGACCCTTTAGTGGGGAACACCTGTAGCTTTAGATGCCATTCCTGCTAGCTCATCAGGCAGAGCAGTGCATGTGTTAACCTCTCTGAAAGTAATGTATAATAAAGATTGGAACTCCATTCTTAATACACCGCCTCCGACTCTCTTTTCACGGCACTACAATACCTACGATGCGGCCATGAATGTAATGATGGATTATCAGGAACAATTCTAAAGTGACTAAGAGACATTGGATTAACCTTGAGCAGCGTTTTTATTCCCTTGAACACGACTTTTGATCACAAAACAGCAACGGTAAGACATAATTATTGTTATGGTTTAGAACACTGTTGTTGTTTTCTTGCTCTGTTCTGGCTGCTCGCTCAGTGAGTTTGTGTCCTACAGTGATGATACTTATATAAAAATAATCTGTGGAGTATCAGCTTTCAGCTGATATGTAGTTTGTGCAGAAAATATTAAGTTTTAAAGATCGTTTTTGCTAGTTAGCACCGGAAGTAGCATCAGCCTGTTTTCACTAAGGGCTAATGCTAACGCTTTTTGTGAGACTTGTGTTTTGTTTCGGTAAAAATGGCTCATATCATTAGGTTGCTGAGTTTTTTCCCGTTATTTGAGTATAAGACATTCATAGGTTTTTAAATATTAAGAAGCCCCCAGACGCTGTCTCCTGCAGTGACGTGTTTTTCCGCCCGGTATCGGGGGGGCCGGGTTTAAGAGGTTAACTATGTTGAAGCACCTATTTTAACCGATATTATACATATGTATTATACTCTTATAAGATGTACGTAGATAGAATAAGAAATGTGCAGAATATGACAGTTTAATGGTGGAGCTACTGTACACACATATTGATAGATGTCTTGTTGAGGAACCTATGACCCAAGTTTGTCATCATTGCATAACTACACCGTAGTTGTGTATATGATATGTCAATAAACCTTTGAAAATCTTGAAATCGTTTTGGATAGTGTGCTGTCGATGGGATTCATTCCGTTTCAAAGTGCTGTTTGACGCTCCGTGTAAACTTCACGCACTGCCACTCCAACATCCAATCACAGAGCTTGAGGACTGATCACAGGGTTTGTCAAGCTAAGCGCATGCTGTAGTCCCAAACGATAGCTGAGGATTCTGGGTAGTGTGGTGTCTTCTGCCATCCAAAAACTCGGAAAAAATATTTGTTTCTCCGAATCGAAGGGGGAAAATACAAAAGCATTGTGTACAATTTAAACCAATCAATGTTGTGTAATTAACAAGGATAATCTGGTGTTTTTGAGTTGATGAGTAGTGCAGATATCACTGGAAAATCAATCGACAGTAAAGAGAATACTTAGTTCCGGGTGTAAAATCCTCCGTTATCCAATGGGAATGGACGCTCACATTGCTCTTTGCGTCCGTAATACAATAAAGGGGACATGATCAAATAGGAATATAATTATCTTTTAAATAACGTCAACTAAAGGGAACAATCTTCCTTAAAAACTAACCAATTTAATAAAAATCACAGTTGTATTACACACAATGCACTGTTTTTTGAGAATACAAATTCGTAACTAATGTAATTTTTACATTCTGACGAAAAATAAAAATGATTATGAATACAAATAAAATAAAAGAAGCCTCCCGTGAGTTACTACAAGCTATACAGTAGATTTTAAAAACGTTTTATAGAATAAAAGTTGACTGCGGGACGTTGTAGAAATGCGTGTGTGCACCACGACAAAGCAGCCTCATTCACATTGGGGTTCTTTGCGTGGTGCCGACACGTAAATGTAGCAAAGTGCCTGACTCCACCACGTACTGCGGTGTTAAGGAGTCACGCATTCTGGTGAGACCAGGTTGGAGGAATATGTTTCTCTGTTCACGTTCATAAAGCATAAAGCAACAGCATCAGAGCACGGTGCAGAGTCTCTAGATGAGTTTACAGTAGTCCCTCGTTCTTATTAAACATCCATGTTGTAGTCCGCTGTATAGAAAACTGTAGTTTCCATAGTTTCCCCACAGCAGCAGACGCACATTCATGACGTCTGCTGGCGCATCATAAACACGTGGGATAGTGAAAGTGCAGTCGGATTCTCTAAAGTGTTTTATTATTATTGATCATTAAAGTGTTCTCAAAGCTGGTAAAGGTGCAGCTAGTTTGAATGACTTTGTATACTGCAGCGTAGCTTGTGAATTTACTCCAGGTGGAACTAAATTCTGATTTAAGACTTATGGTTATATTTCATTCATATGAAATCATTCATCCAGATCTGTAAAGTAACTAAAGGTATTAAATACAGGTAGTGGAGTAAAAGTACACCATTTACCTCTGAATTGTAGTGGAGTAGAAGTACAAAGCAGCATAAAATGGAAAAAGTATCTTAAATTGTACTTAAGTACAGTTCTTGAGTAAATGTACTTACTTCCCACCTATGCCTGTCCATACGTTAAAGCTGTATATTGTGTGGTATTTATCATTTGTTTTCTGTCTCCAGCTCAGGAGGGTCAGACATGTGACCTGGGGGAGGTGGTGTACCGCAGCGGGGAGTCCTTCGAGCCCAGCTGTAAACACCGCTGTGTGTGTATGAACGGAGAGATCGGCTGTGTGCCGCTGTGTACCAGTGACTTCCTGCTGCCCTCCCCTGACTGCCCATACCCACAGCGCATACACATCCCCGGGAGGTGCTGTGAGGAGTGGGTGTGTGCGCAGACGCCGCCGGACCAACACTACCAGTCAGTGCTGGCCGGTCAGTCTCATCTTTGTAACATCAATTGCTCCTAGTTTTTATTTCTGTGGTATATCCGAGTTTCCTCTAGAAGATAAATCACGTGCGAGTCATTCACAGTTTTCCTCTGGGCACAATGGAGATCAGTCTGGGGTAAAATGGTGGAACAATATACCAAAAACAGTACTAAATATATATAAATCATGTTAGACACAGAAAGGTATATTATATATATAAAAGGGAGTGACAGTATGTTGTATATTCTGATTCAGCTGCTAAACCCCCAAACCAGCCGAACTAGATGTAGGATCAGGTTCATACTTTTTAGGATATTTTGTGATTCTTATAATTACAAGTTGGTCGAGGTGTGTGCCAATTGAAACCAACATGCTTACAAATATTGTAAAAAATATTTTTGTAGAAATATTGTAAAGGTTATAGTACTACAACAAATCATAGTACAGTTGTTAGGAATCGTGGAAAAAGGTAGGACCCAAATGCAGACTACAAAAAACGGTCTTGAAACAAAAGCGAGCTTTATTTAAAAGCTGATTAACAAAACATGGCATAACTTGAAACGGTAACAGAAAACAACTACACAAAAACTGACCGTGAGAAACATGGAGGAAGACCGGAGAGACAACCAAGAAACATGACGTGAAGGGAGGACAAACAAACAATGAACCGACAGGGGAACAGGAAGAGACAAGACTAAATACAGGGAGGGGTAATCACGAGACAAGAAACAGCCAGGCAGGGGAGGCAGAAACACAAGGGCAACAGGTGAACACAATTAGACAATCAGACACACCAGGGAAACTATAACAAGACCAGAGTTGGGTGTAACGCGTTACAAAGTAAAGTTTACACAGTTTGCACCTGTGACGGTGAGGTGCAAACTGTGCCCAGGCCAGAAGCTGTTCTCCACTGCTGTAAACACCACGTCAAACCTCAACAAACACCTGCAAATAGTGATGGCAGTTTGACACTGAAGCTTCGAACGGAGCTTCAACACTGGACTTCCTATTTCATAGAAGCTTGCTTCAAATCACGTGACATGTGACGTCTGAAGCAGCAACTGCTTCATTTCCTGAATGAATCACTTGACTGGTTCACGGTCCATTCACGCGATTCAATGCACTGCCACGTCTCGATTCTGACAGGTGACAGGTTGAAACAGTTTCAAACTTGAGCGCTTCAACACTTTATGACTGCTCTAAACAATGCGCAATGTGTGGGTTGTTGTCGTAGTTTGCGTTGTTGCTGTTGAGTTGTTGTTGGTATTGCATTTGATATCATTATAGAGCAAGCCAGGAAGAAAGATAGGTCGTTCTGGCTCGGGAAACACTTCGAAATGTGGAGAAGTTGTGAACAAAAAGACAATTATCAGTAATATAAAAACAGTCCAATATTTTAAGGAATAGATAGCCCAGTGGATAGAGCCGACGGCCCGAATGCGGCGATGTCCTCCGCGCAGCTGGTTCAAAGCCCGGAATGGATGTACTTTTAATCATTGCTTTTCTACTTCAATACTTTAATGACTGATAAAAGGCCCTCTCCTCCCAAAAACATGTCCAGCACTCTCTAGTCTCTTCTCAATAACCCAATACACACAATTATCCATCTTTAATTGCAAATAGAACATGATATTCAGTCTTAGTGTGTGTGTGTGCATCGAATATTTTACAAGGCAAAGATACGTTAAACCCACTGCAGCCTTGCACTTCGCCAGGAGAGGTCGCTGTAACTGAAGCTTCGAGAAATGAACCTATTTCCGACACAATTGTCCAAGTGGTTCGATGCTTCATTTAAAGCTTCATTTTGCCATCACTACCTGCAAAGAACACATGCTAAGGTGAAGCTAACGCACACGCTATTTGTTGTTTGTTTATATCACGTAGTCTGTTCTTCTTCTCTGTCTTCCGGTTGTTGCCTGTTTTGAATGACAAATACACACTACCGCCACCTGCTGGTTTGGGCTGTGCAATTTAATCGATCCTGTGATATATATCGATATTTCAGCCGCGGGTATCGATACATTAAGTCCCATTCAAATCCCCCGTGTTCCGCCTGGCACTCTGCTCGCTGCCCATTACCCCCCGTTCGCTTTGCATGAAGAGCGATTACATCAGCCAGCCGAGCCGCTAGTGTCGCTGTAGAGCATTTCTAGATACACAGACGCCGGTGTGTTCTTCTCGCAGTGAGTGCGAAGCGGTTCAGGAGAATTGCGGCAAACATTAACCCAGCACCTTCGTGCTTAAAAGCAGATGTGTGGGAGCACTTCGGCTTTAAAAAGAAGGAAAGCGACAATTTAGATAAAACTATGGCGGTTTGCAAGCTGTGTCACACAAACGTGAAATACTCTGGAAATACCACTAACCTACGAACCCACCTACAACGTCACTACCCGGACAAGATAATGCTAACTGAGGAACTCTAGAAGCTGCGGCTACGGCGTGACCCAAAACAAATCGTGCTGGACAGCGATGGCGGTTGTTACCACAAGTTCCCATCTACTTCACCAAGGTCTCAGAAGATTACAGAGTCCATTGCCTACTTTATTTGTCAGGATTTGAGACCTTATTCCGTGGTGGAAACGCGTCAAATATGACAATAGCAGCTGAGGAGGCAGCGTTCACACTTCACGTCAAATGCTACGCACACACCCTAAATCTGGCTGCACAACGTGCCCTCAAAATCACAGCTGTTGGGAAGAGTGAGACGCATTGTGAACTTCTTCAGACGAAGCACCGCAGCCAACCACATGCTGAAAGAGAAACAGAGGCTTCTACAACTACCAGAGCACAAGCTGATGACGGACGTGGTTACAAGGTTTGTGCGTAGTTACTTTTCAATTGTTTATTTTGTTTTTATTACTAATTTATTTTGTCATTAATAAATACATTTAAATAAATCTATATATAAAGTTTCTTACTTTTATTTAACTACAGGTGGAACAGTGCACACGACATGCTGGAAAGATTCCTTGAGCAACAACCGGCCATCTGTGCAGCCCTGCTCTCGAGTGAGGTGAGGAAGACCGAGAAGGATCTGTGCACACTGACTGAGTCAGACGTGACAACAGCTGAAGAAGTAGTCAGCGCGCTGAAGCCCATGAAGGAGGCTACACAGTACGTGTCCAAGGAGAAGACCCCCACGCTGTCAGTCATCGCACCCCTCCAGGACACACTGATCAATGGACTGAAAACGATCGAAGGTGAATCTGCAGTCATAAAAGAGATGAAGGCTGCCATGTCTGGGGATCTTCAGAAGAGGTAAGTAGTAATGATCCCCCTTTCGTCTCATTAGTATGCATGAAAAGTGACAGGTGGTGTGACAGGTCACACCTCTCCCTACTTATGTTAATGAGCTAAGTCCCGCCTCCCTTTGTTCGAGGAGGATGTCACACCTAGGTGTGAATTCACACATAGGTGTGAGATCCTTTGATGTGAGGGGTGAGGTGTCATCACACATAGGTGTGAAATGCCCCCCTGTGTAGTGCCTTTGTAGTCTAGTCCTTTGATGGGAGGTGTTATAGCAGGTATGTGTGATATAAGCCTCTGATGTTAATCTAGGTGTTGATTAAAGCAGTCTCTTTGAAGTTATGCTGTCTGGCCCCTGTCCCCTCAGAGTTGTATAATCTAATTAGCCTCTGATGTTTGCCCTTTGATGTGAGGTGTTATAACAGGAAGGTGTGATTTCACACTGGTGTGCTATAAACCTCTGATGTTAATCTAGGTGTCTCTTTGAAGTTATGTGAGACTGTCTACCCAGCCCCCCTCCCTTTTCTCCACCCCTTCCTGTGGCTATGACGCAACAGATAGTGGGGGGTGGAATTAGGTAGAAATATGCGCAAACTAAATAAAAAGACAGCAATTCCATTTACCCAGTCACCTTTTCAAAAAAGAAAAATGGCAAGAGAAGCCTCGAATGGGTTTTAATCAGTCTGTGACAGCTTACAGCCATCCGTCCGGAGCGTCAGTCAAGAAACTAATGCAGCAGCAGCAGTGCGGGGGTCAGATCCCGACAGTCTCGTGCCCTCTTTTGGTCATGCGCGCGTTCATGTGTCATGTGTGTACACACACACACACACACACACACACACACACACACACACACACACACACACACACACACACACACACACACACACACACACACACACACACACACACACACACACACACACACACACACACACACACACACACACACACACACACACACACACACACACACACACACACACACACACACACACACACACACACACACACACACACACCACACACACACAACACACACACACACACACACACACACACACACACACACACACACACACACACACACACACACACACACACACACACACACACACACACACACACACACAACCAGATTTTTGGGGGTGAGATAGCCTGGGGTGTAAATGCCTATGTTAATTAAGACACTCTCTGTGAGAGGAGAAGAGAGGGATTAAGTTAGTTTTTAAAAAAGAAATAAGCTCAAATTAAATAAAAACAGCCATTAATTTTCACTCACCAAGACATCTAAAAACGTTATTGTCCTCTCTAGATTTGATTCAGGGTTTGTTTTAAATGGTGTGTGCTGGCTAAGGATGTTTCTTTTCAAGTTTTTGTGAAACTGTTAACTACAAGAAGTATCTGTTTGCAAAGAGGTTATTTTCAAAATATCTTATTTAGGTTTTAATAGTGATACCTAAGGATATTCTCTTTTAGTTGTATGGATTTGTGAACTAATGTGTAATTACTTTTATTAACTATAATTGCACAGGATCATTCTAAGAAGAGTGAGAGGGCTAATGAGCCAGCACCATACCTCCTCTATGCATTTTCTTGACCTGTATCTGATCTTGAAAAACTTGACTCTTTTAAAAAAAGTTATTTTTCATCTATCATTTTCAACCATGCAGCAAGAGATCAAATTTAAGAATAAGTAATAGTTTGTCACGATTTTACGGGAAATAGTCAGTGCGCGATGTCACATCTTAAAGACAG